TATATATATATATATATTACTTCAAGATTAAGTTTATTTAAATTTATTTCGTTTAATAACTCATATTTTATATTAAATTTTAACGATTTAACTGTTGAATTTAAATTTTTTAATATATATAAATCAAATCTGCAAAAAATTTAAAAATTATTTAATACTTCATTTTATTAATTTGAATCAACGTAAATCTGTAAATTTTTAAAAAAATTTAAAAATTATTTAATACTTCATTTCAATAATTCAAATTGACGGATAATCATAAAATCATTTTATACATTGATTTAAACTAATGAAATGAAGTGTTAAATGAATTTTAACTTTTTTTAAAACTTTTCATATTTGATCTATGTATTAAGAACTTTAAATTCAACAATTAGATCGTTAAAATTTTATATAAAATATGAGTTATTGAACATAGTAAGTCTAGATAAACTTACTCTTAGAGTAAATGGATTCATCCTCTCTCTATCTCTCTCTATATATATATATATATTCACATAGATTAAAAAATAATTAAATACATTTAATTTTCACTTAAGATATACACTTCATTTTTTAAAATATCTTTAATCATACCAATTATAAATATTAAACTGTACTTTCATTTAGTATCTTATAAGTATTTTTTGGATTAAGAGTATTAAATAAAGTTTAGTTTAATAAAATTTGTTTATATTTTAGTTCAGTATTATTTTTTTTTTACTTATATGTAGATTTATTGAGAGTATTTTATCCACGCCGTTCATTGACAATTTGTTATCAAACATTATTTTTTCAAAAGTAAAAAAACGAAGTAAATTTATTATAAAAGCACATGAGGCCACAAGTGTGAACCTACATTTGCAGATTGTAGTTACAATAAACAGAGCAAACAGCACCCGCACACTGCATATTACTGCAGAAAACAAAGCTGGTCTTTACAACCTAACAGCTACCCACAACTCAAACTAAACCTAAGAGACAATCTAATGTACTAGTTAGCAAAGCATACAGCGGAAGACAAGGTGCCTTTGTATTACTAAACCTTTTCTGAAAATTAAGAGCTGAGATATAAGTCAAACTATCTCAGGAAAGACAAATTTTTATCAATGTTTTCTTTTTATTTTTATTTTTTTAAGAATTTGATTTATAAATTGAATCAAATTCATTCTCACTTCAGGTGTTTTATATACACACAGCAAAGAAACTACGAGCGACGTAAGTTAAAAGTCTGTCAACTTTCGGTGTCCAGCCCCACCGATTCTCTATTCTACAGATCTAGGTATTGTGTTTAGAATCACTCCATCTTGCTAATATGTAAAACAAGTTCATTTGATTTTGTTGATTTCTGTTTTCAAACTAGGATTTTGATGTTTTTCTTACAAGCTTTTTTTATGTTGTTTTTTTAATGTATATGCATGGATGTCTTGTTTAAACCCTCACCAAATTAGATCCTCTACAGCAATTTCTTTTGTGCAGCTAATTTGCAGCAAAATCTCAACCATTGAATGGTTAGTATACAGTAATTGTAGAAGATCAGAGAGTGTAACAAATGTTTCAGATCTGACCGCAGAGAATATAGGCTGCAGGCTGTACTGGATCTTGTGTGCCCTCCTTTATGCATGGTTTATTTTCATTGATTTGAGCATTCTCCGATATCTTAAGGATCTGAATTTTTATTTTTCTACGAATCGAAGATCTAAGCACTTTGCTTGACCCAAAAAAAAAAAAAAACTTTTCATTTTCTTATTCTTCTTATAAGTTTGGTAATTAGGGTTTTCATTTGTCCCAATTTTATCGGATGTCCCCGAAGGGACTAGCGTTTTCATTTGTCAAAAATAAATTTTTAAGCATAATAATTTTATTGTTGAGATTGAAAGGGTACTCAATTTTAAAAATAAAAAATCGAATGCCAAAATTGAAATTAAGAGAAAACTACATTTATTAATTTTTTTTTACATTTTACTTATCTTTTTTTTTTTTAACACAAAGCCACGTATTTCTTTTCATTTTTAAATATAATGTCAGAGGTAAAATATAATTTTTTAATTATTTTTTTGTGTTTCGCGATAATAAAACTACAAGCGTGAGTCTAGGATTGTAAATTATCTATTGGCAAAATCTGACTTGGGTAATTTTTTTCTGTATCTTTTCTTCCCTTTACCAATAATATTGTGATGTTTATTAATAATATTTTGTTTTGACTCTCATACAGGTTTACAGACTCTGTAGGAGCCACATTACCTAGTCCTTAATATTTTTTTTCCTTTGAATCTTCGTGTTTCACAAGAAAATCTCGCAGCAATGAATCCTCAAGGTAATTAAGACCATCAATTCACCTATGGAACATGTACTTATGTGCCTGCAATGTTTAATTATGTGATGTGGTTTTTGGTAAAGGTGACGCAACCAGAGAGAACAATTATATTAACAATGAAAATGACGTGAGTCATCCTGAACCCGAATCATCGGAGGGGCTCCTTACTTTATTTCCCCTCACTCCTGAAAGGTTGAATGAAAGGTTTCATCAGCCACAAAGGGATCTCCCTGAAGAAGGTGCATTGGGATCAAACAGAACTAAGAGAAGCTCCACTGAGCATGGAGAAAGTTCAAGCATGGGTGAACAGGCCAAACGACGTGTCACTGAGTCGCATGAAAGTTCCTCATCACCACCATTACCGGTTGAGAGGCAGTTACACGAGTTCTTTAGGGAAACTGAATCTGCAGACATTCAACCTCAACTAATTCAAGGTTGTAATGGTGTCATGCAACATGTTCCTCCATCCATAAGTACAAATGCTCTACCTCAACCTCAACAACCTCAACCTCAACCTCAACCTCAACCTCAAACTATTCAAGCCGTGATGGTACCACTACCCTTACAATTCAGATACTTTAATGGAGCTATTTTGTTTGATCCTCAAGTTGCAACGGGGAATCATTCTCATGAGAACGGGTCATTTGTGAATGATCATAGTAGTAGTGTTCATAATGCCTTTTCACATCAACCTTTGATTCAGCAAGCTGGCCCTTCAAATTCGGGTCCTTCACAACAGGTGATAGGACCTGTTGTTCAAATTCAACCTCTTGTCAGTTATCAACCTTTTACGTCTCTGGTATGCTCAATGCTTACTTTCTTTTAATATGAATCTTTACCCTTCAAACTTGGATGCATTAAGTAGTATATATGTTTTCACGCAGTCCTAAACGCATGCTGTACAACCAAATTCTAGCTATATATGTGTATATCTGTATCTTACAAGAATTGTAGTCCTTGACTACGTATTTGTGGTGTACAGTGTAAACTATTAATCATTGAATTAACAAACATGTATTATCGCTATATCTTGCAGGAATGGCTGGAACTTGACCATTCCCCTTCGTTACATGCGTTTATGGTAGAATTCGAGTAACTATAATTATATATTCATTTTTTCTTTCATTTAATTTTTACCACAACTTTTTCTTTCTCATTTCGTCAATTTTTATCAAATTACTTATCATATCTATTGCTAATCTCTTTATCCTTTGTTTTTCTATCTCTCTTCCTACCATTACTTAATATAATTATTCTCTTCCCAAAATGAGGTAGACATTTGTATTTTTCCTTTGAAATCATGGACGGAATGATATGCACGATATTGATTTTATGGTTATTACTTAAATTTACTCATGTACATATTTTCCTACGAAATCACTCAACTTTACATTCTTATTCTTCTTTTTCATCGCAAAATCCATCATGTCTTTATGGTTATTATATATATACTACACTCATTTCCTCGCATTATTATATTATTCCTTCCTTTTTCTACACATCTTAAAGTCCCCTATATTGTACACAACTCACCTAGAACATAATTTTTCAGTTATGTTTGACATTTTACAATTATAGTTTATTTGAAGGAAGCACTTTACCCTTATTTTTCTGGTGAAGAGTTTCCTATAGCTTAGAATAAACTATTTGGCTTGATTTAGTCCTAAACAATATTATTTGAAACAGATGGAGCTGCTGAATGAAGATTTTTCAGAACTAGATGCGGGATTGAGCGAAAACGTAATAATGCAGAACATTAAGCGTGAACGTTTCACGTTTGTCATTGATGAAGAGAATCCCGAAGACAAAGAAAAATGCACCATTTGTCTGGTTAGTCTTGCTACATTTTGATTCATATTTTCTGTTAACCAACATGGTATTTTGAGAGGTTAACTCAACACTTGAAACTCTTTAATTATAGTTGTGAAAATAAATATTCTCCTATCATTTCTACTATTGTACTAACCAATTAGGCTATTTCTTGGCTCTAATTAACCTTTTTATCTGCTTAATTATTCGTGTCATTTTAATGGAAAGTGTGTTCATGTTCACATCTTAGATTTCTATATATTAACTTTTCTTTTACAAAATTTCTTTCCATCTGTAGGAGGATTTTGAAGACGGAGAAGAAATTGCGAAGATGGATTTATGTATTCACAAGTTTCACGTTCAATGCATCAAACAATGGCTCATGGAAAGGAACGTTTGCCCAATCTGCAAACGCACTGCTTTGACTGTGAACAATGATCAAAATGAAGGTTGAAGCTATTTAGGGCAAGGGTTAGAGTCTTAGAGACAACCGGACTTTACTTTTAGATGATGTAACTTTTGCAGAATTTTGTAGAAGAATTAGGAGAATCAAATGAATATTTGAAGCTAAGGCTTGTTTGATTTATTTCTCACTTTTTTGGCCGTTAAACTATTTTCTAAATTATTTCTATAGTACTTATCCAAATTCTATTAAATTTTTAAAAATGTATCTTAAGTAGGTGTTTCAGAAATCAAGAAACAGAAACAATTGTGAGATATTTTCTCAACCTCTTACTCAAGCGCTTTATAAAATTTTAAGAAATAGAAATGTACTCATGACAAACACTTTCAAATATGCTATAGGGATAAAAAAAAATTAAAAATCAAAAATTGGATTTTTAAAATAGTAAACTAATAGAGCCTAAATTTCATTGTATTTAATTTCTGTCAAGGAAGAGCCGCAGTGAAAATGTCAATCAATTACTCATAAATTTCAATAAAACAGTTACATATCTCTTTCTTCAATCACATTTCAAATGAAATTATGTTTTATATTAATGTATCTAGTCTGAATGTAAGAAATTGGATTTTTTTATATATATATAATGGCCTGTTTGTTGTCATAAAAGTTGGAGACTTTCCTCTGTACTTTTATTTTTAATTTGTCCCAAAATCTTCTATTATTTTTCTCAATTTAATTGAATAGCCAAAATATAGGCCAAATATTTTGCTTTACTTAAGATTGTGCCATTGCTTCCGGCTTCCTTTTGAACACCAAAATATCACTTTTGAATCGAGAGAAAATATGTAAGCCAAAGTAATTTATATATTATCAACACATCGAACTTATTTATTGTCGCAATAACCATTTAATTTTAGCTCGGTGTTCCTTTAAAATCTTATTTCATACTCATGGTGTTCATGACACATCTAATACTCTTGCATCTCCAACATATAAGTGACTTGGTTTACTATAAATCTTGAGTGTAAACCTTCATGAAAGGTAGCATCCTCTCTCTCTCTCTTTTTTTTTTTTTTACTTTTAAAGTAAGGAATTTATTGTCATTTTTTTTTTCATTTTATGTTTTGAAAATACTTTAGGCTATTATTGATAATTAATTATGAAAAGAGTTGGGAATTTTGTTATAATAGAATTTTAAAATGAGTTGAGCAATTGGTGAATTATTCACGGTCGACTCATTAAATATTCGATCAATATTTTTTATTTAATTAAATATATAAATTTAAGTTTGAAATGATTTTATTATGAAATAAAATAATTTAATTATAAATGAGTTAAAGAAGTCAACTTCAATGTTTATAATTTTTAGCAAGTAAATGTTGTGATTATATGCATTATGGATGTTTTAAGTTGAAAGTTGAATGTAAACTAGATGAGAAAAGTTGACTTAGAAATTAAAAGATCTCATTATTGAATGAATTTAAGTTGTCGTAGTCTATGAGCCTAGTGTGAAAATCCTTCATTGTAGAAGTTGCACTCTAAATTTAAAAAATTGTTTTCTCTTGGCTTTTAAGTTGAAAATAGTATGGAGGAAGGTGATATAACATCTTAAATTTTCATAAAATTAATAAGATGTTTTTAATAAATAAAATGTGTTTTAAAAATAAAATATACAGTTTTCAAATAAATATTTGTGTTCTTAAAATATTAAGTGTGATTTTTATTTAATTATTATGGGTTGTGAAATTATATGTTTATGATATAAGTTATATAAGTATTTTGGTAAAATTGTTTTATTTATTAAATGGAGGAAGTTAGGTTTTAAAAAAGAAAAGTTTTAACTTCATGATTTTTACATTTCTTCCATCTTTTGCTTCCTTGCTTTGAAAACTAAGGAACCGTCCGGAGAGAATGCACAGGTCCTAATTAAGAATCACCTCAAATATTTGCATTCTTCTTCTAATATTCATCAAGATAATGAGAGAGTAAGTAATATTACTTTGGACTACGGAATATTTGTTGGCTAGTGAGATTAGTCTCCAATCCCTTTGATTGTTCTTTTGTTTTCTATATGGTGCAAATATTATGCATCTATGAGAACCCTTAGATTCTCATAGTAATCCTTGTTATAGAGCAATATAGAGATTGATGAAATTGGATGACATTTGTGTAATTAGTGGATGTTTTGAGTGATTAATAGTATGAAATAATACAAAAAATATGCAATTTAGCGACCACCAAAATCGGTCGTTAAATTGCAAAAATCAGTCGCTATTTACCTTAGCGACCGAATTTAATCAGTCGTTAAAACCCTGGTCGCTAAGCTATTTAGCGACGGAAAAATTTTCGGTCGCTGAAAATTTCGGTCGCTAAATGGTTGCAATGATTTTGGTTGCTGAAGTGTATGAGACCAAATTAGTGACCGAATAAATCAGTCGCTAAATATTTATTTTTTATTTTATTAAATTTTATAGACGTCGCGAATTTGGTCGCTACGAACCACTCATACTTTCTAGCATAAATCCTAAACCCTAAACCATAAACCCTAAATAAAAATACTTAACTTTCTAGCATGTTTTGTCCTTAAATAGACAATTTTTGGAAACTTCCCAGAAGGTCACCCATCCCTATATTACTCCAACTCAAGTACGCATAACTGTGAAGTTCTTATGAGATAAGCTACCGAAAAGCAAATAGATGTTATTAGTATAAGTAGTACAAATTAATTCATTTAGGTCATCCTCAACTATCCAATCTCATACTTATATTATCTTTGAATTCTTATCATTTTGGTGTATCCGGACTGTTATAAATATATAATAATATATATAATAATTCTATTACTAATAATAATAATTATATTATATTTAATTAATTGATCTTTATTTATATATATACTTACTTTTATAATTAACAATCTAATTATTTCTATTTAAAATTAATTTTATGATACAATTTAAATTATTTATTATAAATTTAAAAGTTTAAGTAATAATTTATATATTTTAAAATGAGAAGGGTTATAATAACACTAGTATAACTTTTATACTAAGTATTACACCGCTCAATAAATTTATATTAAATGTGAATTTTGTAAATCCAACCGATAGATTGAAAGTTCATATCACTTTATATGTTTATATCAATTTTTGTTAAAATTAAACAACAACTTAAAAGTAATCAAAGTGCTCATATTTTATTTGAAATGAATATATTACGTCAATTTTGTTTTACAAGAATGAAGTATCAAATCATCTTGAATTCATATAAGATTTTGTATATATGATCTAAGAGTAAAAAACTTTCAATCTAACGGTTGAATTTATAAAATTCACATTTAATATAAAGTTATTGAGCGATGTAATACTTAGTAAAAGTTACACCGATGTTATTATAACCCTTCTCTTTTAAAATATTATTTTTATAAATTAAATTTTAACATTTTAAATAAATTATTAATTAACTTAATATATTTATTCATCTTAAATCTAAGATATAAAATTCAAAAAATGTATTTATCCTTGTTTTATTTTCTAATTATCAACCATTAATAAAATACTAATTTAAAATCTTATCTAGTTATATCATAATATTTTCATATCAAGTTTAAAATCAGATATTAGTTATACAAAAATATTAAAATCATATAGTAAATTATTAATAAGATTCTGGCTAAATAATTTAAAATAATCAATTTTATCACACAACAATAAAGAAATACTAATAGTTAAGAAAATACATTTGTACTCTTCCTATTAGAAAAAAAGAGGATGCTATAATTCTTTTTTTTCCTTAAGATATCACATCTCTTCTATCAATAAAATTTAAATATAAAAATTTAATTAAAAATAAAGTTATCATAAGTTAGAAATATATATTATAAATATGGATCAAAATAAATAAGAAATTTTAAAATTCATATACTCTAATGAAAAAACTGCCTAAAAATCCAATCGTAAAAAAAAACCTCTAAATATTTTTTCACATAAATAACTAGTAGTATTAATTATGTACGAGTGCATATAAATATTTTTTTTATTATAAATTAATGTCTTGCTCTTACAAAAAAAAGAAAATGGGATTGATACTCAACAACAATATTATCATCACTTTTAAGTAATTTATAAATTTTAACTAATATTTAGCGACCGATTAGAATTTCGTTGCTAATTTTAACTAATATTTAGCGATCGAATAGAATTACATCGCTAATTGTATTAGCGATCGAATTTAATTCCATCGCTAAAAAAATCAAAATTTCTTATTTAGAGACTGAATTTAATTCTTTCACTAATTTTAATTGATATTTAGCAATCAAATTTAATTTCATCGCTAAAAAAATCAAAATTTCTGATTTAAAGACCGAATTCAATTCTATCGCTAATTTTAGATGATATTTAGCGACTGAATTTAATTTCGTCGCTAAAAAAATAAAAATTTCTGATTTAGCGACCGAATTGAACTCGGTCTCTAAATTATAAATTTTGATTTTTTTTAGCGACGGAATTGAATTCGGTCGCTAAATAAATTTTTTTGATATTTTTAGCGATGGAATTAAATTTGGTCGCTAAATATTAGTTAAAATTAGCGACGGAATTGAATTCGGTCGCTATGTTAGAAATTTTGATTTTTTTAACGAAGAAATTGAATTCTGTCGCTAAATATTAGTTAAAATTAGCGACGGAATTGAATTCGGTCACTAAATTTAACTAATATTTAGCGACTGAATTGAATTCGGTCGCTAAATTTTACTAATATTTAGCGATCGTATTGAATTCGGTCGCTAAATTTAACTACTATTTAGTGACTGAATTCAACTCCGTCGCTAATTTTAACTAATATTTAGCGACAGAATTCAATTTCTTCGTTAAGAAAATCAAAATTTCTAACATAGCGACCGAATGCAATTCCGTCGCTAATTTTAACTAATATTTAGCGACCAAATTTAATTCCATCGCTAAAAATATCAAAAAAATTTATTTAGCAACCGAATTCAATTCCGTCGCTAAAAAAATCAAAATTTATAATTTAGCAACCGAGTTCAATTCTGTCGCTAAAATTAACTACTATTTAGCGACTGAATTTAATTCCGTCGCTAATTTTAACTAATATTTAGCAATCGAATTAAATTTCGTCACTAAAAAAATAAAAAAGTCTTATTTAGTGACCGAAATAGCGACGGA